AGGCCTGGGGAAGCAGGTGTGGGTCGGGGGCACTCAGGGGGGCTGGGGAAGCAGGCAGGGGATGGAGCCTGGTGGGGGCCCCTCCATGGTCCCCTCCCCACTCCTCCAGCCACCTCTCCCTCACTTCCTATTTACCAGCTTGGAGTCTGCTTCCAACTCCCTGCTGTAGCAGGCGGAGACTGCTGGAATTGCCAAACCTTTCCGAATCTTTTCCAAATCGATTCAGATCTTTTAATTGGTCCCGATTCAATTCGGATTCGGAGATTCAGTCACCAAATTGGGCTGAATCTCCTCCGAATTGAATCAGCACCCGAAGCTTCACACAGCCCTAATAATCAGTAGGCCTGTGCAAAGCAGCTAGTATTCACTTCAGCTTCGGATTTGGCTGATTCAGGGGACAGTGATTCAGTTTGGCGATTCGAATCACTGTCCCAAATCGATTGGGCCAAATCTGAGTCAGAGATCACACAGGCCTATCCCCGGCAATGGCTGCCCCGCCTGCCCCAGCTCCAAAAAGCCCTGATTCACCAGGTGCTGCCAGGCGGGATTCGGGGGGAGGGATCCCCACTGCCCCACGCCATGTGGGGGGGCTCTGCACACGCCCACCGACCTCCCCTGTTCTCCCAGCCCTCTTCCCCACGGCTGCCCCGCCTGCCCCAGCTCCAGCCCTTTAAGAAAAAAAACACTCCCAAAACCCCGGACTCGCTGGTTCATGCTGGGGGGAGTTCCCCACTGCCCCACGCCATGTGGGGGGGCTCTGCACACGCCCACCGACCTCCCCTGTTCTCCCAGCCCTCTTCCCCACGGCTGCCCCGCCTGCCCCAGCTCCAGCCCTTTAAGAAAAAAAACACTCCCAAAACCCCGGACTCGCTGGTTCATGCTGGGGGGAGTTCCCCACTGCCCCACGCCACATGGTGGGCTCTTCCATGAGCCCCCAGAAGCCCCAAGGCTGCTGCAGGAACTGGTGAGCCCAGGGTTTTTTTGGGTTTATTTTCTTAAAGGGTGGGAGCTGGGGCAGGGATTTGGGATGGGGTGGGGGTCGAGGGGCTCATGGCAAAGCCCCCCCATGCAGTGGGGGGGGGGCAGCAGGGATCACCCCCCCTGCCTGGCAGCAGCCAGTGAATGGGGGCTTTTTTTTTTTTAAGGTCCGGGAGCTGGGGCGGGTGGGGCAGCCATGGGAAGACCTGGGGGAGCATGGGAGATACTTGACAGGTGCTGGGGGAGCAGGCAGGGAATGGGGCCTGGCAGGGGTTCTCCCATGGTCCCCTCCCTTCCCCGCACCCCCTACTTACCAGCTGGGAGTCCAGGTCCAGCTCCCTGCTGCAGTGGATAGGGTCTGCCCAAATCATCAAAGCTCTCCAAATCTTTTCCAAATTGATTTTTCCTTTTAATTGGTCCCCTGATTCAATTTGGATTTGGAAATTCAGCCAGCCAATTGGGCTGAATCTCCTCTGAATCGAATCAGCACCCAAAGCTTTGCACAGCCCTAATAATCAGCAGCATTTTCAAAGCCCTGTGGGCTACTCAACAGGACAGGTGTTTCTCTTTAGTCCTGGGCTGCTGACTCCTTGTTTTTAGTGTCCTGGCCCCTATCCTTGATTCTGAGTTTCCCATTCCCTTAGTCCTACCTGTTAATTTCTAGTTTCCTAGGATTTCCTTGGTTGTTCCTGGTATCCTGTTCCCTGGCCGTGCTTTTTAACTTCCTGGCATCATCCTTGTTCCTGCCCATTGGTTCCTGGTTCCTGCCTGCTAATTCCATATTCCAGGATCCAGCCTTGAAACTTGTGCTCTAGACTGCCTTTCTGGGCTCCTTGATGCCTGTGTTCCAGACTCCATTCCAGGCCCTCGTCCTGTAACAACTAGTTCATAGTTTATCCCACATCCCAAAACGGCTATAGCTGCCTGCTCCAGAGCCCCCAGCTAGTGCCTTTGGTCTGGATCCCTGCCTCTTGTTTCCCCCCTGGCTCATGTTCCTACCTAGTGTGACCACATGCATCCTGATCCCTTATAGATCTTGGCCTCCTGACCTGAGATTGTCTGTTTCTGATTGTATGATTGCACTGGCTGTGCCTTTCTGGGATCAAGTTCCAACCTCCTATGTCCCAGTTGTACCCATGACACCCATCTCTCCCACCTCCTAGAAGTGTGCCCTACCCATTGGGTTATGGAACAATCTTTGGTGAGAGCACATCCTCCCATCCTTTTACGGAAGCTTCTTGCACGTTAGACACTCTTGTCCTTTTTTGAATCTGTCCCTAAGATCATACAAATAAATAGCAGTAACCTCAGTAGGAGAAGGGTCTCTGTGGTTCACAGAAGTTAGGGATATTGATCTGAGCAATGTCTATGTCAAAAAAGAACATGAGATTTCAAAGCACACTTGGATATTTGGATGTGTCATTCTCCTGCATTCCAATGGTGCTAAATCCTTCAATAGCTTTGAAAGCATCATAGGCAGAGCTGGCACAGAACATCCCAGTGGGTGATAGGGGAAGATCTGATATTGGTAAGCAGCTTATTTCCATCAAAAGCAACACAGCAGAAAGAACTAGAAAGATTCTATGTAAGATCATCCAGGTTATTCTTCCTGTCAGGCACTGTTGCCCCCCAGGCTGTGGAGACCAAGGTGAGGAGTTAGTTGGCCAGCACAGACAGAGAGAATTTGTTGTGAAATTTGTCTAGGCATTTGTTGACACAGTGTTGAAGACTTCTAAGAAACCTAGTCCCCAAAATACAAAGTGAACAAGCAGCACTTCAGAAATCTCTGTAAGCAGGTATTGTGCAAGGAATAAGTCACACAGCTAGAAAACATACTAGCAGTTCAAATTTTGTAAGCATGAATGGAGCCCAAAGATTATTGCATGGATAGACTAACACTAGGAGGTATCTGGTTACTCGTTTACCTTTGTCAGGATGAAACTTACTTTTATGCTGTATTGCTTACTGGTTCAAAAACTCCCTTATTTCCTAGATTCCTTCATTACAGAGTCAGTGATCTGCAGCCTCACAAAACATAATATGTATTGTCATTTCACACACAATACTATCATTGTGGGCATGGTGGAATGGCAAGAAAAAAATTAAACAAGATATTTGCCTTCAAATCAAAACACTTGTTGAGGGCTAGTTGCAAGGATTCTGGTGTTCTGCTTCAGGAAGACTTAGTATCCTCTCAGAGTTGTACTCACAGTTTCTTCTTTTCTTTTCTTTACCTATTGTCCCCTCTTCCTTTACTTTCCAAGGCAAACCTGACACTTGTCTCTGAATTCAAAGACTGCCTGTAGTTCTCTGATTTTCTTTTTCACTGCTTATGAGGAGCTTCCTGATAGCAATTGCTTTTATGGCTGCTTTGGAAAACCAAGAAAAGAAGTCATTGGCTGGGTAATGAGCATGAGCTATAGGGGGCTGCTAGGTGATTTTTTAAAAGAGGCTTGCTGACCACAGACCAGAGCTCACTCTTTGTTCCTCTAAAGATTACTTAGTATATGTGGGCTCCACTCAGCAGTCACAATCAAATGGCTGCCACTCTAATTATTCTGTCCTCTCTGTTTCAACTGAATCTTAATAATGGATCAGAAGAAACAAAGCTGTGACTTGGCAGAAGAAAGGTGGTGTTGGGGTTACTGTAATCACTGCCAAGCTATCACTGACATAATGACGGGGAATATGGAAGGAACAGACAGACACATAGTCACCTTCATAAAAGGGACCCTGCAAAATGGGAGTCAGAGGGGGAGTTTTAAAACCATTGCTACTGAAGGGAGTATTTCCATTAACTTCAGTGGGGTTTGGTTCAAACTACACCCACACTGTGGCTAGTTAAGAATAATTAGGGTACATGATGGAAGAATTTGGCACACTATTAAAAACTATCTTGATCTCTGTTACTAATTTTAAGAACTGATAGGAAAGGGAGCATGATTTAGCCAGCTTTCAAGAGAGATCTAATCTGGTGTGACACCTAAATCTCGTGTGTATAAGCTGGGGTGGGCTCCTGCTAGATGATGGTAACTCCCTCAGTTTGTGATAATTGCCTTGTGCTTGATTACAAATGACATCCCTAGTCCTTTATCCCTTCCCTTATCAGTAAGAAAACAGAGATTTAATAATCTAATTAACCCCTCAGCAGCCTGCTCATGGCTCTTGTCATAGATTTATCAAAGTATTTAGGCATTGTAGGATGTAGGTAGCCATCTGGTGAAGTTTTTGGAAGAAGCTATCCAGGTTGGGTACCTAACTTCCATGGGAATTTTCTTACTATGTCCATATGTCTGTGGGTGCCTAAATACTTTAGCTGATCTGCATTTTGCCTCACTTACCCAGAAATAAAGCCAGACTTACAAGCTAAGTACAGATAGTCAAAAAGCCTGAGGCTGAATCAGTTCAATCTTTGCAAGTTACTCTAAACTGCTTAGATTGAACTGATAAGCAAGCAAATAGACATTCACTTTTGATTCTGGAAATACAGCAACATGCCTGCAGTGGCCCAGGCCACAAGCCAGGGAGTAGAGTATGCCTCCATGCTCCCCTGGAGCAGACAGCTTGGGCCAAGGCTAGCCCGCCCACCTGCAAGGGGGTGGTTTGCAGGGGAGGTTCAAAGCATTCTGGGATGCTGGTGGACTGTGAGTTAACTTGAATCTGGAAGGGATCTGTGGCAGAAGTTCAATAAACTGGCTTAACCTAAATCAGTTAAGTCTGATACTACATCCATCCAGGTTTATCTTAAGCTGGTTTCAGCCATTTTGAAAGCAGTTTATGTGCACAGAGCTTCTGTTGTGTTACAGATTTGAACCGGTTTCTGATCACTTATACAATAAAATCTTTGTTATCTGGCATTTAAGTAACCTGAAATTCTAGTAACTGGCTAGTTACTAGAATTCTAATTCTATGAATGGGGGGTGGGGGGGAGCTCGCACATGGTGGCTGCTGCCACCACCCAGCACCCTGTGCTGCTGCTGCTCCACATGTGGCTGGCCCCCCCCCCCCCCGGCTTATCTTGACCCCCTGGTGCCTGCCACTCTCCCCCCCAGTGTTATCTGAAAATCCTTGCTGGGTTATTTCAGATAACTGGAATTTTTATGTAACCAGCAATCCCCTTACCCCAGGGATGCCAGATAACAAAGATTTTACTGTATTTGTTTATGTGTAACTTCTGTCCCTAGCCATAATGCCCACGTCCCTATGAGCAGTGGCATGTAGTTGCCATGAGAAAAAAGGCAGACACACAAATTCATGCTTCTGCTTTTTTTCCTGGTGCATGCCCCTTCACGTGAGGCTAGCGCAGGGAAAAATGCCCTGGGTGTGTTAGGGAGGCTGGGGCCAGCACCTGGGTTGGTCTCAGCAGCCTTACCTGGAGGCCTCCTGGGGCTCCAGCAGCAGTGATCCGAGCATGTGGAGCCTAGCCAGCAGCTTGAATGTAGCTGGCCAGGCTCCAGTTTTGCATGACACACGCTGCTGCCATGTGCACTGCCCTGCATTTTTTCCATGCACTGTTTTTGATACAGGGATTTCCAGGTATCTAAGTTTGGCTCCGCACTACAAATAAGCAACATGGAGAACCAAATCACGTGTGCAGGGTGTGTTTCGTGGCGCCTCAAAATACATTTGCATGTGGATGCGACCAGTGAGGGCTGTATGGCTTGCTTGTCTGGACAACCCATTGGTGACCTGCTCTGGGACTTCAGTGGGTGAGGATTGCCTGTGGTCTGGTGAGGGACTAGTGTTCTGAGAAGCAGAATGAGCTCCTTCCATTATTACTGCTCTGTAGCCCTGCCCAGGATGTGCCAGACACTGAAGAGCAACAAACTAAGATGTATCCTTATCCTAGTTCAGCAGTGCTGGCCAGCATCTATGGGGAAAGGAGTGAGGGTAGGGAAACATTTTACCCATTTCCCACCACTTTCTACTTACCTGCTGTCAGGTATAGGGAACAATCAGACATATGGCACCTCCTCTGACCTAATGTCCATATACCTGGAAGACGTGTGAGGGAGGCTGCCATTCCCGTTGTGCAATGAACCTCTAATACTGGCAGTGCAGTTCCATCTGATCCCTACAATGTGGGACCCTGCACTATCAGATGCCAGCAAGGCTGGAAGTAAAATGGCTTGGATAATGCTGCAGTCTTGTGTCTTGTGTGTGATCTGTGGTGTTTGTAGCATGAGATCTGTCATTTTTCTTTCCTTGGTGTAATTTATCTTGTATATGTAGCATGATTTGTATTTCTGTCTTCTGTATGTATTTTGTGTCATATATGTGCTTGTGGTATGTAAGTGGTATATTCTGTATTTCTCTTTTTGCATGTGTTTAGTGTCGTATACGGGGTGCATTTGTGGTGCTTTGGGGATGTGCTTTGCAATAGAAATCTGCCTCTAATCATTGACTCTCATTCTAGCTCAGCTGTGGTGACATTGCTGCCCCAACAATTGCACTGAGCACCAGTTTGTAAGAATGCATGGATTTATGTACTTTTCTGTCAACCTAGAATAAGTAACTTTGAAAATCCTGTCCAGTTCCCAAGAGGCAAGTCCACAATCCCATCTCCCAGAATCCTCCAAAGTCAGTAAGCTGGCCTCTGGGGTCAGGACTTATTAGAAAAGAAGTGAGAGCTTTTTAAAAGATTTATCTGGTAGAAAAGGAATGAGCAGTGGATACATCTCATTAGATAGGCACACAACTAATGAACACTCTTTTACCCTTTAGGTTGCTAATAATTATACCTCTCAGTGAGTGCATCTACACATGCAGTTAATGCAAAGCAATAAACTCCAGTGCATATTACACCAGAGTTTATTGCTCCTGGGCACACTGTTTGAACATGCACTTGGTACTGCAGCATGTTGAGCTGGGTCAGAGCAGTCCCATCTGGCAGGGGCCCTAGGGGTCAGCCTGACAGTCTGGGGCTGCTCTCTCCACCGCCAGCTCAATACTGTGCCCTCCTCTCCCTCGGGAGCAAAAAAGAAGGGAGAAACTGTAATCTAGAAGATCTGATAGCCACAGTGCCTTATGGGGATGCTTCTAAGCTGTTGTACTTTGGTCCAGGAAGCACCTAAGTCACAAAAGAGCTTCATCTGCGTACTCATGTGTATGTAAGAGCTCAGAGTATTTGCTGCATCTCAGAGCTAGCTCATTCCCCCTGACATGTACATCTTCATCCCATCCCCTTCCTGGGCCAGGGGTGGGCGTGGGGACAAGGGTCTCATCAGGAAAGCCCACTCCTAGCGACTGCACCGTGCTTGGTACTGGGTTGTGTCTGAGCAGGGGAAGAGGAAAACCCCCCGGGATCACGTGAGGGTTAAACGTAGGGTCAGAGGACCTGGTTAGAGAACTTCTAGAGGGGCTGGATGTGTTTAAATCAGTAGGTCCAGATGCTCTCCACCCCAGGGTGTCAAGGGAATTGGCAGGGGTTATCATGGGGCCCCTGGCATGGCTTTTTGAGCACTTGTGGTGTTCTGGCCAGGTGCCAGACAACTGGAAGAGGGCCAATGTGGTCCCCATCTTTAAAAAAGGGAAGAGGGAGGACCTGGGCAACTATAGGCCTGTTAGTCTTACTTCAATCCTGAGGAAGCTCCTTGAGAAGATTATCAAGGAGCACATCTGTGATGGACCAGCAGTGGGGATGATGCTCAAGGGCAACCAGTATGGTTTCATTAGAGGCAGGTCCTGCCAGACCAACCTGATTGCCTTCTATGATCAGGTCACAAAATCACTGGACACAGGTGTTGGGGTGGATGTAGTCTTTCTGGACTTCAGGAAGGCCTTTGACACTGTCTCCCACCCCATTCTCATTAAAAAGCTAGGTGACTGTGGCATTGATGCCTACACAGTCAGATGGATTGCAAATTGGCTGCGGGGTCGTACTCAGAGAGTGGTGGTGGACGGGTCATTTTCGACCTGGAGGGAAGTGGGCAGTAGGGTCCCCTAGGGCTCGGTCCTTGGGCCAGCACTGTTCAGTTTCTTTATTATCAACTTGGATGACAGGGTGAAGAGCAGCATGTTTAAA